ATTTAATTCTAAAATAATTTTGCATATATGTAGTTTATAGTTTATTTGTAATTGATGACTCTTAAATTACTTAATAATTTATAAATATGTAAGAGTTAAATTTTAGATATTATTTACATAATTATTACATTGCCCATCTCTAATACAAATATTTATTTTTAAAATCTGGTACCATTCATGGTTCTAGAGATCTCATTGATAAAGAAGAGTAATTGATTTGGTAGAATATTATTTTTAGAAAATACTAGATATAGTACTAAATAGTATATCTTCTCGATATTCCTTATTGATATGACGATGGCTTGGCAAAAAAATATTTATCTATACTCTTTCATTTGTAAAGAATAACTTGCCTCTTGATTTTCTAGAAACCCTTTGGCGATATCTTTTAATGCTCTTGGAGTATGACAGTATTCATTTATAGCACCTAAAGCACTATAAAATTTATTACATATGGCTTGTCTTGTATGTTCAAGTATTCAAGACATGTAGCCTTCTTCAGACCATTTGTCGGATGGCTTATCTTCAAAATATTCAGTAAATAGATTACACCACCCACTAAAATACTGAGGGATTGAAGGTCTGCAAAAAAAAAAATGTTTTAAATTTAACTCAATTGAATTTTATATAAAAAACTCAACAATTTACTAACATACCTATTGATTTGTTTGATGTGACCATAAATGACAATTTATTTGGCAAATCTAATGCAAAACGAGAACTTGTACTTTGTTTTTTTTTCGTAAAGCAGAAAATTTGACACGTAAAATTCTCTGTCGATAAACGTGATCAAAATGTGTGCCAAGTTCATGGCATTTATCATCAACTATACTTCATGCATGAATTCTGTGCATATAGGATTTCCAGAAAAATTTTTGCTATCACGTAATATTCAACAAAATTCTTTAATTTCGTTTATGTTAGAGTTAAATCTAGGAGTTCTAATTAATGTGCAGAAGGTAGTATAAGCGATTTTTATACTAAGTTGTTTTGAAATATTTTGATTGTATAATGTTACACTAAATCGTGGTTCATTACTGTATTGGCTTGTTAATCATCATGTGTAATGTCCAGTGATGGGCGCAAAAGTATCAATTTTGATAGATCTACGGTAGCTTTTTTGATAGATCTACAACACATCCTAAATCTATATTACGTTATTGATGCATTT